TGCTGGACGGTTGCTGCGGTTTTTCTACGTTATCTTTCTAATTTTAATTGATTTATCTTCAAAAGGATCGTTTGAATGTAACTGAACGACGCTTTTAATTGCAGTGGAACTTATTACTTTGTGAAATTGCCAAATCCGGCGAATTATAAGTTCGAATATAAGATCTATAATATGATTATGAAATGAAAAGACAGGATTTGCTTAGTGTATAGTGCGCGTGGTTTTTAGGCGATATTTTTCTGAGTGCCTGTGTAGTATTTTTTTGTAGACTGTTGCTCAAACTTTTTCGCTTAGTAATTGATCGTGTTTGTATTGGTAGGAATATTGTTCTGTATCAATGGAAGATTTTTCGGTTATTAGTAATTTACTGTTGTGTACAGTTTGAAGCAGATAACTAAATATTGCGACAGGAAAACTTTAGTTTTTCTGTACGACGTTTACTGGCTTCATATACAATCATAGGAAGGCTAGCGAGATCAAACCTGATTTAATGCATACATTTTACAGACGTGGCAGAGGAGAAACTCACAAGAAAGACTTTAACTTTTCTAACAGTTTGCTTCGGTTTTTGGTTTTTTATTCTTCGTGCTTAGGAGTTGGTTTACGGGTCTCTTATCAAGGATGAAAATGAACTTATCTGACAGACAGCGCGATGAACTGTTAGTTTATGTTTTTTGTATTTTTATTAAGCCATTATTAAGCTGGAATAAGTTGATAAGTCGAGCTTTGTCAAGTTTAATAGTATATAGAGCCAGAAATTTATATTTTTTGCCTGTGCTTAAGGTACCAACGTTAGAACTGTTTACTAAAACGACTCTGATGTGAGTTGTTAGTTTAGGAATCGCGCAGTTGCTGATTATTTGCAGTCTCATGGGTATACAGAATCTGTGGAAATCTTTAAAAGAGAAGCTAATTTGGTTAGTTAGCCTTCATTTTCAAATCCGTGGACTATGTTTTCAATGAAAACTTTTCCAGGATGATTTTGACGAAAGGAAGTCATCAGGTTTATTGGAAAAAAAATGGACATCAGTATTGCGATTGCAAAAGAAAGTTTTGGAGTTGGAAACGAAGTTGCAAGAAGCAGAAAAAGAATACATTCACGGTGCTCCTACGAGGCATTCTCTTTTTAGATATTCTTTTTTTCTGCTTAATTTTGTCACAGTCTTCTGCTGTTTCAAATCTTTTCATTTTTTTATATCTTTGTAAGGTTCCTTTTGTCATTTATGTCTTTTTTTTTCGGATAGTTAATGATGACTTTCGTTCTAATGCGTTTTATGAAGAAATACAATATTAAATTGTGTATGCTAAACACTCTTGAAAAATTTGTGGCATTTGTCTCAACATTTAAATTTCTAGGGAAAAACGCCAGCCAGGCGAATGGATCCCTCGCCCTCCAGAAAAATACTGCCTTACAGGGCACCGCTCTCCTTTAACTAGGGTTATTTTTCACCCAGTTTACAGTATTATTGCCTCGTCGAGTGAAGATTCGACAATAAAAGTAGGCCGCTGCATTTTTGAATTAAACTTTTTTTTTAATTTTTTCAAAATACATGGTTAAAATTAAGTTTAAATTAAACAGTGGTGTTTTGCTAATTGGTATAGAAAATTGTTGTTGGGTGCTTTTGGAAAATATTCTTATTTTTAGTTCATTATAGTCATGTGTTGATTAAAAAGTTGTTTTACGGTTACTGAGCTTACCGGTTATCATATTTTTTGTCTTTAATTTCTGGATCTTGCTTTACCATTATTTTTGTTAGAAGTTGTCAGTTTATGCGAACAGTGAAGAGTTTTGGGGATCTTTTACATAAAGAAATGAAGTTTTTTGTTAGGGACTTCAGGACTTTTTTTCTCAAGTTAATATAAATTGAGGTTTGAAAATGTTTGCTGTTAAAGAGCAGCCACTTTTTTTGATATATTTTTTTTCTTATTGAGAAACTGTTCCGTTCTAGTTGTCCTTTGAGGCCAGTTTTTCATGGAGTCTTATCGGATTTATTTATTTATTTTCTTTTTTGAAGGTTTGGGACTTTGAGTCTGGGGAATTTGAAAGGTCTTTAAAAGGGCATACGGATGCTGTTCAAGATATTGCTTTCGATGCAAGCGGTAAACTATTAGGTAGGTTCGATGTGTTATTTTCTCTTTTTGATAAGTTGCATATCTTGGTTCTGGTAAATTCTTCACGAGTTCGTTTTATGGCAGACATTTTCTGCCATCTAGTGTAAATTAATTGTCTTAGTATTTCTTTCATAATCAAGAATAAATTGGATTATTTGTAGCCTCGTGTTCCGCAGATATGTCAATTAAACTTTGGGAGTTTGTACAAACATATGAATGTATGAAAACGCTCAGAGGACACGACCATAATATTTCGTCGGTCGCTTTTCTACCTTCAGGTACAATGCCATGGACCTAATGTTAGAAACAACTTTTTGTTGCTGTCCTTACCACATATGTTTAAAGAATTTTTCATTATTCAGGAGACCATCTTTTATCTGCATCCCGGGATCATACGATCAAAATGTGGGAAGTAGTTAGTGGTTATTGTGTGAAAACATTTGTCGGACACAGAGACTGGGTGCGGATGGTTCGTGTTTACCATGACGGAAGTCTTTTTGCATCATGCAGTAATGATCATGTTTGTTTTGCCTCTCTTCTTCAATTTTAAACAATCTTGCTTAATTTCTCTGTTTGTTTATTTTGTCAGTTGCTTGAGGAAAAGGGGTAAACGGGATTGAATAAAAGTTCTACTAGTAAAATAGATACAAAGTTCATTGACCTCTGGTTTGAACAGTTGCTATTTCACGTAATTTTCTCCATTAGTCATTGTTAACAGCTTTCGCTGCTACCATTTTTGGATAAAAATAACTTTTTTTTCTGTTGGAACTCGGTAAGTTTCATTTTATTACCGGGTGTTGCACTGTCGTTCTTTGAGAAGACGGTGCCAACGTTTTTTGCTGGGTATGAAATGTTCTGCTATATTCGCATTTGTAGTCAATATGTACATGGAATACGTCATCAAAACAATGCAAGTCAACATTTCGCGAGCATGAACACGTTGTTGAATGTATAGAATGGGCTCCTGAAAAAGCTTTACCGTCTATTAGTGAGGCTGATGAAAGTCAAACAGGTACTGATTTAATTAACTGTTCAGGCGTTAAAATCTTTATTCTGTATTGCTAACTGTATTTTCGTCTCCTAATTTGTTACTCTTGTGAAGAAAACTACCAAAAGTTCAAATTGCTTTTACAGACAAAGTGAACGGACGAATCGCTAACGAAAGTGGTGCTTTGAAACTGGGTCCGGTTCTGGTTTCAGGTTCGCGTGATAAAACTGTCAAGTTTTTTGACGTTACTGCTGGAGTTTGTCTTTTCACACTGGTAAACCTTTAAACTTTGCTTCTTAAATATTACCTTTTGCTTCGTTGATAATCTGTCGTTTTCCAGAGGCCTAATTGGTAAGTTTCATGTAATATTACAAATTTACTCACTGTTTGTAACTCAAAATTTCACTCTTTTTCAACATTTTGTTGAAAAATTACATTTAGGCAATGTTGGGTGAAAAAATACATATGTTCTCGTTAGCTGACTAAAAGTTTTTGGATGCATTCATTGAGCTTTTTTTTTT